TAAGTTAAATAAGCAGGGTGACAATATACAGCCTTGATGTACTCCTTTTCCTATTTGGAACCAGTCTGTTGTTCCATGTCCAGTTCTAACTGTTGCTTCCTGACCTGCATACAGATTTCTCAGGAGGCAGGTCAGGTGGTCTGCTATTCCCTTCTCTTTCAGGATTTTCCACAGTTTATTGTGATCCACACAGTCAAAGGCTTTGGCATAGTCAGTAAAGCAGAAATAGATGTTTTTCTGGAATGCTCTTGCTTTTTCTTAGAGAATAACAATCCACACTGCTCTGGGAGGTGTGAGGCTCACGTTGGGAAGAGGCGTCTGCCCCGTGGGCACCTGCAGGGCCATGCCCAGCCTCCCTTCCTTCCCCCACGGTCCTGCCTGCTGGTGGGCATGAACCAGGGTGTGCAGGTCTCAGGGACAGAGAGGGGAGCAGGGCAGCCTTGCACTTCGGTGTACGCTCCGCCACTGCGGGGTGTGCCTCTGTGTCTCCCATCCTCCGTCCCAGTGCTGATGCCGCTGTCATTCCTAGACTCCAGGTCATGGGCATTCTTGTCAAGAAATGCTCTCTGAGTCAGAGGGGACATTGCCTCTGGGAGAGGCCCGGGAGTCACCCCACATCAAGATGGAGCCAGAGGAGCCACACCCTGAAGGGATGTCGCAGGAGGCCAGAGCTCAAGGAGCGCGGGGCTGGATGCCCCTAAGCCAGGGTGCTAAGGAGAAAGTGTGTTTCCTGCCTGGAGGAGGTGAGACAGAGAATGGGGAGAGGGGCCCCTTCCCTGCTCCTAGCCCAGGTAGGGAGACCCAGGGGTCTGCCCTGCAGAGGCTGCCCCACTCACCCCGAGCCCACTGACCCTCCTCTCAGGTCAGGTTGGGGGTGGAGTTGGAGGCAGCGGGGGAGCCCCTGGTGGGCCTGGCATTCGCTCACTCCCGGGAGCAGGAGGGCCAAGCAGGGCCAGGTGGCCGCCTGAGGACCTCTCTCCTCTCTCAGCCCTCCCGGCCCCCCAGATTCCTCTGCTCTCCCGCGAGGGGAGGACCAGAGACCGGCAGATGGCCGCGGCGCTCCTCACTGCCTGGTCCCAGGTGAGTGTCCACGTCCAGGGCTGGAGGAAGAGCCAGAGGACGTGGAGGGACAGTGTCTGTGACGGAGCTGTGCTTCGGATCTGCGCGCTGAACCCGAGGGTGGGGGCCAGAGATCCTGAGCTTTGGAAGTGGTGCCGGAAGGGGGTCTTGCTTTTGTCCTCCACTGCCCACAGTCGCATGGTTCTTGCCCCCAAAAGTCTTCCTTAGGCAGCTGCCCTGCCTCACCAGCAGACCCAGGGCGGGCCTCACTCCAGTCGGCAGGATGGGGGTCCAGGTCTGTCCTTGTCCTGGCACCACTGAGCGCCTCCACCACATCCCAGTGAGTCCCGGAGACGGGGCATGTCCTGGAGAGGGGGCCTTCTGTGTTGTTTCAGATGCCGGTGACCTTTGATGACGTGGCTCTGTACCTCTCCCGGGAGGAATGGGGGCGGCTGGACCACACCCAGCAGAGCTACAGGGAGGTCCTGCAGAAGAGGAGCGGGCTGTCCTTGGGTGAGGGCTGGGGAATCAGAGCAGGACCCGTGTACCACCACCTCCTCCCCCTCCCCTTTTCCAGGGCTTGAATCCCCTCTTGCAGTTTATCCGGACCTTGCTATCCTATAGAACCTTTCTAGTGGTGGATGTGTTCTTTCTGTGCTGATGTGGTAGCCACAAGCCAGATGTAGCTAGTGAGTCCTTGAAATGCAGCTGGAGCCACTGAGCTCTTTTATTTTAATCAGCTCAGATTTGAGTTGAAGTAGCCACGCATGGCCAGCGGCTGCCATGCTGGACAATGGCCACCTAGAGATTGCTTCTCTCTAGTTCTTTCCTAGCTCCTTCCAGTAGCTCCCCTTCCTCTCCCCTCCAAGCCCAGCTTCAGAGGTGTCTGAGCAGAAGCTTGGCTCTGGGTTGGGCTGCAGGCCCAGGGAATGGGGAACGGTGCCAACTGGTCCCTCCAGGCCTTTGACTCTGAGCTGTCACATCCCCTTCCCAGGGCAGCGTCCTCTTCTCAGAGGGGCCTTGGTTCCCTTGGTTTTTCTCATGGTGAGTAATTAAGTCCCAGGGCTTTGACTCCTCACTTTCAGGCTGTAGTTTTCATGACAGAATTTTATGAGGGTTTATGGGAAAATCAGAGCATTCATTCATTCATTTGGTCAGTCAGTCTGTCTGCCAGTGCATGCGTGTCTGTTACACACCTGCTGGTCCCGGTGGAGCCACAGACTGGGTGATTCCACCCTCTGACTTTGGTGGTGGGCCTCAGGATCACAGCAGTGGCTCTGCTTACGCCTGTAATTATCTCAGGTTTGCTCGCCACCCAATGTTGGGACTCTCCGGGGCCTCGGCCAGCAGGTCCAGGCAAGTCCTGGGAGATCAGAGGGAACCAACCTCCACTTGCAGCCCCATGGTGGGCCTCATGAATGCCCTAAACCACCCACTGGTCCACATGTTCCTTCCCTCCCATGGGGCTTGGATCAGGTCATGAAGCCCGGGGCCCCCACTGCTGTCTTCCTGACTTGAGCAGACTTCCCAGGCCCTCAAGCCTGGGGGGCTTGGCAAATAGGCTGTTGGTCCCTGATTTCTGGGTGGTCAGTGTCCCTGTCTCTCTCACCCCAGCCCTCCCACCAGCCTCTCTCTGCCCAGTGCCCCTCCCCCAGGAGCCCTGTTTGTGGTCCTGGGAGGGTGCAGGTGCAGGAGAGGAAGACTGCATCTGGATTCTTACTGAGGGGGCCACTGCTGGGGGCTGTGTGACACAGGGGTGGCCAGCCCTGAGAAGAGTGGACGATGCCTGGGAAACTGCGTCCTGAGAGGGTGTGGCCATCTGGTTTTGCCCTGCGTTTGCAGAGCTGCACCCCCTCTTTCACTCCATCATCTCTCTGGGGGGTGGGTGCTGGTATCTCCCACTGTGCAGCCCGAAGGGCCCTGACTGAGCGCAGCATCTCTTTCCAAGCAGGGTTTCCCTTCAGCAGACCCTTCTGGGCCTCTCAAGTGCAGGGCAAGGGCGAGGCCCCGGGCTCCAGCAGGCAGTTGGGACATGAGGAGGAGGAGAAAAGAGGTGCGTGCAGAGGGGACAGGGGGGCGGGGCAGTGGGGTCTTGGCTGTCACTCTTGGATGCCCCAGGTCAGCGCGGGCTGTTTCCTGTGGGGTGCAGACACACAGCCCCTCCTGGGGCGGGGCCACCTGCCTCCCCTCCTGTGTGGAGGTGGCTCTTGCTTCCAGGGTGCCCCACAGGTGCTTGCCCTCATCTCCATCTCCAGGACTCCCCTGGGGCCCTCATGAAAGCCTCTCTCTTGCTGGAAACCCTGTTCATCCAGGAGCGGTGGAGGCAGACAAGGAGGAGCTGGCTGCGTCGCTGGGAGCCCTTGGCGATGTAAAGTCCTTCAAAAGCAGAGTGGGAAGAGGCCAGGGGGAGGCCCCGCGGTGTGGGCAGCGAGCAGCCAGCGGCCAGAACTCAGGGCCAGCCAAGGGCGATGTGCAGCCCCATCCCGTGGAGGAGGCACAGCTGGAATCAGCCCCGCCTGACACCGACCTCCCGAAAACCCAGGAGGGCCACTTCCCAGAACAACCCAGAGAGGGGGGCACGGCCGCCCCCGAGAGCGGCGAGGAAGGCCTGGCGCTGGACAGCGAGGCGGGCAAGAAGACCTACAAGTGTGAGCAGTGCGGCAAGGCCTTCAGCTGGCACTCACACCTGGTGACGCACCGGCGCACACACACGGGCGAGAAGCCCTACGCCTGCACGGACTGTGGCAAGCGCTTCGGCCGCAGCTCGCACCTCATCCAGCACCAGATCATCCACACGGGCGAGAAGCCCTACACCTGCCCATCCTGTTGGAAGAGCTTCAGCCACCACTCGACGCTGATCCAGCACCAGCGCATCCACACGGGCGAGAAGCCCTACGTGTGCGACCGCTGCGCCAAGCGCTTCACCCGCCGCTCAGACCTGGTCACCCACCAGGGCACCCACACGGGCGCCAAGCCGCACAAGTGTCCCATCTGTGGCAAGTGCTTCACGCAGAGCTCGGCCCTGGTCACCCACCAGCGCACCCACACCGGTGTCAAGCCCTACCCGTGCCCCGAGTGCGGTAAGTGCTTCAGCCAGCGATCCAACCTCATTGCGCACAACCGCACACACACCGGCGAGAAGCCCTACCACTGCCTCGACTGCGGCAAGAGCTTCAGCCACAGCTCGCACCTCACCGCCCACCAGCGCACCCACCGAGGCGTCCGGCCCTACTCCTGCCCGCTGTGCGGCAAGAGCTTTAGCCGGCGTTCCAACCTGCACCGGCACGAGAAGATCCACACGGCGGGGCCCAAGGCCCTGGCCATGCTGATGCTGGGCGCGGCCGGGACTCTAGCGGCACCCCCGCCTGCCCCTACCTAGGAGGCTGGGAGGGAGGGGCCAGGGCATCTGCTGTGGGGGTATGACCTGGGAGACCCAAGAAGGGAGGCGGGGAGGTGCTGGCATGGGGGTGGCAACACGGGAGGAGCTCGGATGAGGACCAGGCATGCTCGCCGCAAATTAAAGGCCTTGGAATTCAAGCGACAACCTATAGCTTCCTTTCATGGGGCCCTGGAAGCTGATCCTGGACTCGGGGGGGGGGGGGGGGGGGGGGGGGGGGGGGGGGGGGGGGGGGGGGGGGGCGCGGGGAGAGTGGAGACTCCCGGGGCAACTATGCATTCTCACTCAGTCTTCTGAGAAGGCACCTTCCTCCCCAGCCTTCACCTGGCTTGGGAACCATTCCAGAATCTAGAAGTTTTCAACCTGAAGCCAGCTGGCCACTTCCACTGCTGTTGTCATTAGGTACTGACATTACCTACTGAGCCCTGGACCCTCCCATGGCTCTTTTCCTAGGGAGTCGGGAGCAGGGCAGAGTCAGCATGGGAATTCATGCTCAATGTCTTCTGCCTACCTTGTCTCCTGTCTCAGGCACTGGGGCCTGCATTTTGTGGCTGCACATTTTCACCTACATCCTGGGGTCCCAGCTTCAATCCAGTGAGGATTTCTCACTTACCAGGGACCCCCTACCTCTCCTGGTCCTTTCTGAGGCTGATGCCATCTCCCTCTCCTACTTCTCACCTCCTTGGCCTCCTTGAACAGTTCAGTTAAGCCTCTCAGTTGTGTCCGACTCTTTGCAACCCCATGGACTGCAGCACGCCCGGCTTCCCTGTCCATCACCAACTTCTGGAGTTTACTCAAACTCAAGTCCATCAAGTCCGTGATGCCATCCAACCATCTCATCCTCTGTCATCCCCTTCTCCCACCTTCAGTCTTTCCCAGCATCAGGGTCTTTTCAGATGACTTGGTTCTTCACATCAGGTGGCCAAAGTATTGGAGTTTTAGCTTCAGCATCAGCCCTTCCAATGAATACATGACTGATTTCCTTTAGGACTGACCGGTTTAATCTTGCAGTCCAAGGGACTCTCAAGAGTCTTCTCCAACACCACAGTTCAAAAGCATCAATTCTTCAGTGCTCAGTTTTCATTATAGTACATGTCCTTTGTAATTTGCCCTGCCTGAGACTGCCTGCCTGTTTTACCCTTCAGTTTAGTTCAGTTGCTCAGTCGTGTCCGACTCTGCCCTTGGCCTTGATGAAATGACAGAGTGCCTGATGAACTATGGACAGAGATTCGTGACATTGTACAGGAGACAGGAATCAAGACCATCCCCAAGAAAAAGAAATGCAAAAAAGCAAAATGGCAGTCTGAGGAGGCTTTACAAATAGCTGTGAAAAAAAGGGAAGTGAAAGGCAAAGGAAAAAGGAAAGATATACCCATCTGAATGCAGAGTTCCAAAGAATATCTAGGAGCGATAAGAAAGCCTTCCTCAGCGATCAATGCAAAGAAATAGAGAAAAGCAACAGAATGGGAAAGACTAGAGATCTCTTCAAGAAAATTAGAGATACCAAGGGAACATTTCATGCAAAAATGGGCTCAATAAAGGACAGAAATGATATGGACCTAACAGAAGCAGAAGATATTAAGAAGAGGTGGCAAGAATACACAGAAGAACTGTACAAAAAAGATCTTCATGACCCAGATAATCANATGACTGGTTGGATCTCCTTGCAGTCCAAGGGACTCTCAAGAGTAAGTCAAGTGGGCCTTAGAAAGCATCACTACGAACAAAGCTAGTGGATGTGATGGAATTCCAGTTGAGCTACTTCAAATCCTGAAAGATGATGCTGTGAAAGTGCTACACTCAATATGCCAGCAAATTTGGAAAACTTTGGCAGTGGCAGTGGCAGTGGCCACGGGACTGGAAAAGGTCCGTTTTCATTCCAGAATATCCCTAAGAAAGGCAATCCCAAAGAATGCTCAAACTACCCCACAGGGGAATGTTACATAGGCACTTATATAATGATGTAGGCTTATATTTACTAAAAAGGAAAGAGGTACATGATATATTAAAAGAAAGCTGTCCAAGAAACCATAGATGACTATGATTATTCTTTGTAAAACATACATACTTTGGTATATAGGGACCAAGCAATTATGGAGAGTTATCCACTAAAACACTTTTTTTCTTCTGATTTAGTTTTACAGTTTTCTACAGAGAGCATATAATGCTTGACTTATAAAGAGAACAGTTTTTTAAATATTGTTACCTGCAGAAAGGATAGTTCATTCAGATTTGTATTTTCTGGATTAAATGAATAGTACTTGGAATAGAATAAATGTATCATTGTATTCAGTCCTCTTTGTGGCCCCATGGACTGTAGCCGCCAGGCTCCTCTGTCCATGGGATTCTTCAGGCAAGAAGACTGGACTGGTTTGCCATTTCTTCCTCCTGGGGATCGTCCCGACTCAGGGATCAAATTCGGGTCTCCAGCATCTCCTGCATTGCAGGCAGATTCTTTACCCTTTGTGCCACCTGGCTTTAGCAAATTAAATGAGTGCATGAATAGGCAAACAACTTTACTCCCAGTGTGGCAATGGTAGGTAATAATGGGGAGATTTTTCTAAATTTTATTCTTTCATCTTCTTCCATTGAAACTGTTTCTGAGGGACAGCTACTTTTAGTTTTTCTTGAGATCTTTTCTCCTTCCATGGATTTCACTTCTCAGAGACTCATTTATGAGGTTACATACCTTCCTTGGTGTGAGGTTTGTGCCCCTTTCTTTTTCTGAATGTTGCTGGTGTATTATATTTCTGGCTGGTCATTCATTATTTTTGTTCATTTCATTAAAGGTTTTGAGAGTCAGGTTTCATGGTCCCATGTCATTTCATTATTTAACCTGTGGGTCCTTCCAGAGGCTATTAGGTCTAGAAAATTCTTGCTCTCTAAAATTTGGCAGGTATTTATCTATTCTGCTTCAAAAATATGTTTTAAGTTAATTCTAAAACCTGGTTGAAATCTATTGTTGTATGGTTTGAGGTGAGACCATGCATTATTTTTTTTCTTCCAAAACACTTGTCCAGTTTTACAGAAATTATAGAGCAACCCATTTTATTCCATATGGGCTTGTGACATGTACTTTGTCATATATTAGTTATAATATATGTAAGTATTTCAGGCCTGTTTTTTTTGTTGTTGTTGCTGTTGTTGCATTGTTTTGTCTGTTGATTCCGACACTGGTATTATCCTGTTCTGATTTTAAAATACAATTTAATGTCTAGTTTGGGTACATTTCCACTGATGTTACTATTTTCATGCACACTACTCAATGCTCGGCATTATGCCAAAAATATAAATTTATTTGGGAATAATTGACATTTTCCATTATTTAGTGTGCCCTTTCGAACATGTTGGTTTAATTTGCTCCTCTGTTTTGTCTCTCAGGGTTTTCCTTAAGTAATTTGCAGTCTGCAGCTATTGTGAATTAGACCTTCCCCTCATTACATTTTCTGACTGGTTATTGTTAGTACACAGGAAACGGAATCTTGAATATATATTTTATAATTAACCAATTTGTTGAGTGTTAGTTGTTATAATTTTGGTTTTTGATTCTCTTATTTTTCTAGAAAAGCAATCATCTTATGCAGAAAGTTATAACTTCTATTCTATTTTCAAATATTTATGTATCTTTCTTTTTGATTGTTGGTAGTGATCCTGGACATCCTTGACTTTCTTCCAGATTTTAATGAGAGCAATTTTAGTAATTTGCTGCTAAAAGGGATTGGCAGTTGGTCTAGGAGAGATTAAGAAATATACTTTGCTTTCCAGCTCACTAGGAGGCTTAAAAATCAGAAAAAAAAAGTGTTGAATTTTATCAAATGATCTTTTCTCCTTTTTGATAATAATCTTGGGCTCTTTCTCGTTTGACCTAGTGATGTAATGTGTTATATTAATATACTTTCTAATATTAAATAATACTTGTATTCCTGAGGTAATCCCTCCTTGATTATGCTGGCTTATTGTTTTAATATACTTTACTTAAACTCACTGGTCTCTCATTTAGGATTTTCACAACTGTATTTGTAAATGAATCGTATCTGGAGTATGTATCATTAGTTGAAGTGTTTTCTAGAAGGAATATTATGAGGGAAAAAAAAGTTTCCATGGTCAAACACATTTAAGAAAGACAGATTAAAACATTTAAAGAACTTTGTTTGCTTCTGGTCTCTCAGAGACTTTAATATGCTAATTAATACATGCTGTAAATTTCTGAGAGAGTGTTTTCCAAACTAGTGCACAATAGGCTTTTCCCCTCAGAAACTTAGACACTAATATCCACAGAACCCTCTTTAGAATATGCTAGTCATTTTCAGATTTTAGCATTAGAGTTATGTTAACCTCACAAAGTGAATTGGGGTAGCCTTTCATAATTTTATATGCTCTGGAATAGATTATACAATATAGATAATAATTAGTTTCTTGAAAACTTTCAAAGCCTTGCCCATAGCATTGTCTTGGCCTGGAACAAGTTTCACAAATTATCTCTTGATAACATTAGCAATGTCTTCCATGAATATTCAATTTCTTATTCCACTGAATCAATTTTATTAATTCATATTTCTATACAGTTGTTCATATTATTGAGATTTCTAAACTTTTAAAAATGTAAATGTGTAGAATTTTTGTTAATTCATAAGACATGTCCTTATTTGTTGGTAAACACAATGGAAAGAAATGATTTATTCCAAATATTTGAAATATAGTGTATAGCACTTTGTAAATGGTGAACTCCTTTTTTTTTTCTATTTTCCTTCCTTCTTTTTTATTTAGTTTGTCAGAACTTCGTCAATTTAAAAACTTTCCCTGCCCAGATAATCATTCCTTCTACTTAACTATTTGTCCACCTATCCATCTATTTATTTTATTGATTTTCTGCTTAGATTGTTATTTTATTCTTCCCATGTTTCTTGCAGTTTATTTGTTTCTTCTTTTTGTAGTTTCTTAAGTTGACTGAAAAGTTATTTAAACAAAATTCTTGACTAGTAATAAAAATAAGTCTATTAATTTGATTTTAAAATAGTTGTGTATTTTTGGTCCTTTATGCCCATGGTGCAATATTCAAAGTTTACAAAAAGACTTGCAGAGAAAATTGAGTCTCCTTCCTTCCCCTGCCCCAGTCATCTACTCATCAATCCCCAACTAT